GAGGATTTACCGAATATAACGACAACTATTACTTGGTTGCTGATAGACCGTTTTACTACTATTACTCTCGATATGGATTCTGCACTGCATGTGGACTACTCCGTGCATTTGCGGGCATAGATAATTATCCGATGAATGGACTAGCAACAATAAGCAACTCGATGAGTTTATTAAGAAAACACAATTACAAACAAACTCACCAAATCATGCGTATTTAGAATGGATTCCATTTGATTGCATTAACGTTAAGGAGGATGGTGGGGAATTTAATTTATATTTGTATGGTCTACCTACTCGTGTAGACGTTAAATTGATCCCACTCGAAATAACAGACGAGACATCTGATTTATATTATACCGAGGTAAATTATTTACTTATGCGTTATGTTTGTTGACTAGTTTAAATAATCATTGACTTGTTATGTATTATTATTTCCACTAGTTGTGTGATAAGAACCCAGATATTCTTATCACGAATGTTTGGGTCACCATCGGATTTACATATGATGCAAGCGAACGAAATTATTATCTAATAAAACAACATGATGAAAGTGGATTATGTCTGGCGTGTACATATCACTTAGAACCTAAGATTAATGCATTCTGTTGTTGGTGTAAAGCGCCGCAACCTCTTGATTGGACGACCGGTAACAAGTCTTTGGACTCATTCATTATGGAGTCGTGGAAGAATGTGAATATCCCACATGACGCTTATATACATCTCTATTGTCAAACATACAAGAGGTAGAGTCATTACGCCATGGATGCACACATGTAGCAAATTGGTTAGAGCCGACAGAATGCTCAGTCGTTTGATTTTTATCAGGTAAAATATTTTTCGTGTATAAGCGACGTAAATAGTATTGGTGATTTTGCGTCTCGTGCGTAATGTAACAACCTTATTTGTGCATTCAAATAGCTGATTGAAGATTATCCAGAGCTATTAACACCTGATAATATTTGGATAATTGGAATCACTCAGAAGCCATCTACGCGGGAATATCATTTAGTTTTCTATTACGAGGTACATGTAATATTGGACAGGTTTATACAACGAAACGAGTTTATCAAATACGTGCAGTATAGCGACTTTAACGAGATCAAGGAGATCGGATCTGGTGGCTACGGGACAGTTTATACTGCCAGATATGAAGAAGTGGGGTATGTCGCAAAAACAGTTCTACTTAAACGGTTCAAAAGTTTTAATGAAGAACCGGAATTATTTATTTCCGAGGTAAGAATTGATGTTAGGTACGGTACTGATACTAATTAAATCGATTTTAATTAATTAAGTTGTGTTTACCAGCTCAGAATCATGGCCAAATGTTCGTCTGGTTTATTCCTTCACCTTTATGGAATCACACAAGACCCTGAAACAAAAGAATACATTATTGTTATGGAACATGCGAGCAAGGGTAGTCTTATGTCGTATTTGGATCAAAATATTAACAAACTGACGTGGATAGATAAACTACGGCATTTATTGAATATTGCAAATCATTTGGATACTATTCATTGTATGGGATTATTGCACCGTGATCTTCATGGCGGAAACATAGTTATGCGTGATGACGACTCACTTGGATTACAATCAATAATATGCGATCTTGGTCAATTAATTCACGTGATTCAACCATCCAAGGCTTTTTACCCCCGAAGTCTTTCATACTCAAAATTTTACTCAGAAATCAGACGTGTATTCTTTTGGTATTATTATGTATTTGATTGCTACTGGTGAAGCACCGTTCAGAGATAGGCAGTTCGATAGAAGTTTAGCATGCGATATTATGGGCGGACTACGGCCATCGATGCCTGATTACACGCCAGAAGAATACAAGAAACTTGCTGAGCTGTGTTGTGATGCTGATCCTGATAAGCGTCCAGATGCAAAGACACTTTACGAAGATATTTACAATCTTTTTGTTGAGATTGAGAAGGACACCTCTGTCAACAACCCATGGAACGCCATTTATCATAATGACGTAAAACCCTTATCACGTCTGGAGAAGGAGAGCAAATATTCGAGTACACTCTTACCTGTTGGAGATCTGCCTAAGCCGAGAAACAGTTACAATGTTTCCATGTCAACAGATTTCAGCTTGCCAAGTACAGACATAGGATTAGGAGGTTATGAAGACAATAGAAGTAGGATATGCAATATTATTATCGAAATTTAGTGACTCAAATTTTGAATGAGTTTATCCGATGGTTAATTACAGTGTTTCTATTCTTATATATCTCATGGCTAGTAGTCAATACACGTCGATTAATAAAAAACTTTGATGGGTTTATAGAATTTAAAAATTGATGCAGCTATAGCATTAGTTTTTTGAAATTGATTCAATAGTCATGTTGGCGCGCCTAATACTTTAATCGTCAACACTGGTTTATTTGCGTCTGATCGTTAATTACATATTCCGCGGACTGGCGAAATTTGCAATAACAGCTGTTATCGGCCTATGGAGTGTAAGATTTATTGGAAGTCTCCTACGCGTGTACCTCGTAAAGAATGTGGTAAGTTGATGTTCTCTGTGTTTCGTGCATGTAGAGATTATTCTGGAAAGTATCGGTTTACAGATTATTATCAACGAGAAAAAGTAGCAAAAATCTCCCAGAACATATCTGAAACTAACACCGCAGCAAGGGTAAGTTATAGTTTTGAATAATTACTGTGAAGTGGCTCACAATGTAGACAAAAATTGTCCTAAAAAACATATAACCGTCCGAGGATTTTTTTTTCCTTTGTTTTATTTACATTGCACACACAAATGTCTCTCTTCCGTATCCGGAAAAGTATATTATCGGATAAGTTACGAAAAGGTTTGGGGTTTTTCGAAGATGCGTCCTAATTATATTGGACAGATTAATTTTGATCTTAAATATATGCTACAGAAGTAATCACCTACAGAAGGAAATATAATATTTCGAAGTGCATTCCATACATTTTAAAAGTATATAAAATGTCAAGCTCTGATAAAGAATATTATACAGCTAATAAAAAATTAAATTTTATGTGTTAGAGACTCAAAGCTTTATTCCCTCACTTTTAGTTTATTATTAATTCTATTTTATTATGGCCCGAAATAGAATCCATAGTCTTAATTCAGCAGATGTATACCAAAAGTATTCCATCTTAGTAAAAAATGTTTGCAAATTGAAATTAGCGTAAACGAGCAGGTAGCGGAAAAGAGAATGGCAATACATTCTAAAATTATGAACAAGATACGTAAGCTATTTTGTAATGCTGCTTAGCATCACTGAGCGATTTTTAATTTAAACACATTTACTATATATTTGTAGAAAAGATAATGCAGTATATTTGCAAAGCAAAGGCACTAACTTGCCCTTTTAATAGGGAAAATGATAGCGATAACCACAATTAATGTTTAAATGTCTTGTTTCTAGAACTATTATAAAGAATACCGGAAACTAAGGACTACAAACTTTGAATGTCTGAACAGACTCAAGTTTAGCTGTATTGCAATAAAACCGATTTTGAGCATGTTTTATATGCGTGTACATGGTCGATAAAGCCATGCCATTACTACATTCTCGATAATCTTAATTGTATTCTCTCCGTGGATAAAATTTTGTTGGATAATAGTTTTTGCTCTCAATTTTTTTATACAAAGTTACAAATTTATTGCTTGGCTTCTAAATTCGAAGAGTTTAGAGTTATAATTATTTCTGGTTAGATAGTTTTAATACGGAATATGAAATACGAAATTTTGCTAATGATCTTTATTATATATTAGTAATATTATATCAAGATATTAACACGTCTATGTATATATTTGGTCTGATAATATTTGCGAATCATAGCACAATTTTGGTGTTTTCAAATTTTGAATATACTGTTAACTGGTTTCGAGCATATTTGTATTAAATTCTGTAACATTTTGAATTCTAGTAAGTTGATAATCGGTTCTCAGTTATCTATTATACTGTTGGGTTATAGATTATGAAAAATATTCTTTCAATTCGATGTTACAGGTAGAAACAAGGCTCATATGCGAGCCTGCAGGCTGACGCCACAGGCCAACTCTTTGCAATGACGACGCATACTCGTCGTTACTTGATCGATAATGCTTTTTTTTGTTAACTCCGCTAAAATTGATGTCTAAAAAGCGACTAAATCGAGCTAAATCCACTAAAACCGGCTGAGTAGTCTAACCTAACTAAGCAGTCATAACATAATTATGTTATAGCCACTGGAGATGAAAAGCTGCATGATTGTAATGCAATATGCTGATGGCAATGATCTTTTGTCTTGTTTGAATCGAAATATTCATAGAAGATACCTTTGGAAGAGATTGCAATCTTCACTACAAGAACATAATGTCTATGAACGGAATATTATGATTATGATATCTTCAATCACAGCAATCTTTATCATTTACATTCACAGGCATCAGATCAAAATTAAACATTAAAGTTATCACACCTTTTAGCCACCAGAAATTTTCAATGTTGGTTGCAATTGGATAGCGGCACGCGATACTGGGGGGGTATCATGCCAGAATCAGCACCAGATACAGATGCATATAAGAAACTGTGGCGATGACGATCCTAACAATCGTCCCGAGGAAGCATGGGGCACTTCACTCATACTAATAACCTTATCAAGAAAAAGATGAGCCTGACGCTTATATATAGAATACATAATATTACACACGTCGAATGAGAAATTGTTATAATTTGAATTATCAATTTGTTGTCATGAGCAATTTTGTGACTCAAAATCTTGGATGTCATACAAAACACGTAGTTTATTTTATACGGTAGAAACTTATTAACATATTTTTAACTTACCGCAACCCTCTACGTATAATATAATGGTCGTTCAATGTATACATGAAACTTATTGTACGTGGTTATTGAGTCACAACAGTTTAACTCTCTGTCGGCGTTCTGAAGCCAGATACGTTCTAAGAATAAACCAGACACTTTTACTATCATTCTTTGATTCATGTTTTCTAATACACAGTACGTGAGATTATAATGTCGCCTGTCATAGAGTCATTGTTATTTCCTGGTCCAGATGTGAGGTAGGCTAAGATATTGATATTTACACCATTTGTATAAAAATTTATTCACTATTCAGTAAACGGCTTAGGCTCAACATATCGACACGAATGTCTGCCACTATTTGCTATCGTCCTCGACATTATCTTTCAAGCTCGACACCCCGTTTTTGAATATGATTCTTTTCTACTGTATCCAGTTTGTTGAATAGAGTTTTTTTTGAATAACATTAAAAGTAAGAGTAGTGCTAATATTTCTTCAATAAATCTCTATCTTATATGTTCCATACGATTTCCCTGTCGAAAATTATAGTACTACTGTCTTTAACTCGGATTGTTATCTAAGCTAAAATGGCTTTATTGTAAACATGTACTTTCAGTACAAGTTATTTATGTTTAAGGTTTGATGTTTTAGCGCGCCTAATGGCACAATGATTTATCAAGTTAGAAAGTATTCATGGAATCAAATAAAGATGATAGTGTATGAAGGCGAAGAGTTGCCCATTAGGTGGCACTTAACTGTCTAGAGACTGTTTACAGTATATCTTCTGCAGCAAGACATTGATAATGTTGTTGTCAGATTAAGTCACCATTATGGATTAATACGATTAAATAAGGGATCTAAAAAGACTTGAGGATGCTTCTCGAAACACAGATATTATCACAGATATTATCACAGATATTAATAGTATAGTTCAACTCAACAACGTTGTCTTGTTCACGATATATTTACAGAATAACGGCGCGTTTATATAGTAATAAATTTTCGTAGCTACAGATATGTATAATATTCTTAACCGCTTATTATTTTATCTTTTTGCGTAAATTGTCACGTTTGAGCAGAGTAATAAATTGAATAATGAGTGTGAAAAATTATATGCCGAGTTAGCATGACATTGCGCAAAAAGATATTCGTGTATTGCTGTAATATGAATAACACTTTCAAATCCAAGATTATGGTAAGCAGATTCATTTCTTCATTTCTTTTCGACAAGAATTGGGTTAATGATTGGAAATGCGTGCGTGAAATGTAGTAATATACTAAACGCAAATTGAATAATATAACAAGTAAATCTATATTTGCAGGATTGTTGTTTCAAAGCATAATTTTATTACATGACAGTAATGATTATTATAGCTTTATACTGTTAATTGACGTGTCCTCACGGAATGATACAAATGGAAATCTTCTTTGTTATTTTTTATGTAAATAAGAGAGCAGTAGAACAATAAAACCTATCTCGCTATGGAGACAGTTAAATTCATGTCCAGGATACAAAATAAATGTTTATTGTTTAGAAAGTTTCTATTTTGAAGCTTTTGATCAACCAATTTACACGATAGCGTTCAGCTACGAAGGGTTGATTACAACAGATAGATTTTACGTTCGCTATTTGCCGGATAAACGATTGACCTGTATTGACTATGAGGTTTAAGGTACCATCTTCATCAGCTGATGCATGTTTAAGTCTGTCTACAGTTCTCATGTGGTCTGCTATATACTGATACTTGGAGGAAAGACGGATGGTGGGTAGATGGATAGTCCGAGGTGTTTCACCTTTGTTTGAGGAAATTAAAAATTTGTTAAATTGCGCATTTTGTTTACTATCTTTAAAGAAGTGATTATAGCGCGATTATGTTTCGTATTTGTTTACAGTCAGACGCATTACGTGTTTGCCATTGTCTATCTCTCAGAAGAGGACGTTTTGTTTACTGTATGACAACACGTAATCGTGTTGCAAGTCATTTTTATTTATCAGCAAGCAGTAAAAACGTATGAATCCAAAACTTGAATACAAACACTGCCCCTCGAACGAAAAATGTCTATCAATCCAACTATCCGCCGTCCCTTCCTCTCCACGCTTTCTCTCGTCCTGCTTTTTTGTTTACACTTGTATATACAGTAGGTCACCGAGAACTGTAGGCGGGTTTCAAATATGCATTAGGTGGATAATCTCCCCTTAAATATGACCAACTCCATACCACCTCCTAACAGCAAGCATGCAAGTATTTATCGTTATTGGGCAATAGTCATCGCTCTCACCATATCAAGAAAGGCAGGTGTTTTATCAAAATTGATTATATGAGCATTTTAATAAAGTCTGCAACAAGACAAATGTGTTTCCGGTAATTTGATTGGCTCTTTGGAGCACTTTTTAAAGTGCTTTCTGCTGTGTTGGCAATACTGTCCTGTCTTACTTGCAATTTTTGAAGAATTAATTAAATATTAACGTAACGAAAAAATCTTTTAAGTGGTACAAACACAATACCTTCATCTAGACAATGTCCAAGTGCCAGGCAATTGACGATTTGATCCAATCTTCTCTAAACATTGGACGTCACTGGCTTGAATGGATTCCTTATAGAAAGTTTACTAACATACAGGTTGATCAACGTGCTGCTGACCAGATAATCCACTGCAAACAAATTTCTAATAATGCTGAAATAACGCTATTCTTGCTTGGAAGCCGTGAACAGTGTACGCCGGCATTTACGAGTGAGTTCGCCAGAAAATACTCACTTCCAGTGCACCTTCATCTTAGATCACCTGATTATAATCAGTTCAGAAGATACAAAAGATGGCTTGCATGCCGTAGCTCTTCGATACAAGGGTTTACCGAGTACAAGGATAACTACTATCTGGTTGCTACTAGACAGTTTTACACCTATCATTCTCGATTTGGGTTCTGCTCGGCATGTGGCATCCTCAGATGTAGTCCTGTGTGGTGTATTTGCGGGCATAAAGAATTATCTAATGGATGGACTAGCAACAACAAGAAACTCGATAAGTTTATTAAGGCATCACAAATGCAAACAAACTCGGCGAATGAAGCTTATTTAGAATGGATTCCTTTCAATTGCATTCAGTGGAGGGAATACTTGAAAACTATGCCTGCTTTTGGAAACGTAATATTGATACCACTTGAAATAACAGAAGAGACGGATGAGCTATATTATGAAGAGGTAAATGATGCCATTAGAATACGAAACGTTATGCTTGTTGGTTATTACCGACCTGAATAAAGTGTAATAATAATCTGCATTAGTTGTGTAAAAAATATCCAGATATTCTTGTCAAAAACGTTTGGATGACTATAGGGTTCACATATGATGAACAAAAGTATTGGCTAATCAGACGTGAGAATGCATTATGTTTGTCATGCACACAACCACTTTTACCTCATATGCTTGCATTCTGCGCCGTATGTAAAGCGCCGAGACCGCTTGATTGGACAACCGGCAACAGTTCTCTGGATTCATTTATAATGGAATCATGGCGTAATACAAAGCACGGGTATGATGCCTATATACAATGGATAGAGTATTCACAATTGAGCATGATACAAGAAGCAACATTATTGCAACAAGGATGCACACATATTGCGGATTGGTTAGAACCGACAACAAACGAACATATAAAAGTGATATATAAGGCAATAGTTTCTGAGCGAAATGTTCAATCTTTCGATTTCTATCAGGTAACTTTGTAAATAATATATTGTTTTAGATATAAGACGTATATCCGTGTTTAAACGATTATTCTTTCACTTTCCTGCAGCTTACCAAACGTTACCCGGATATATTGACCCCAGATAATGCCTGGGTCATTGGAATTGCCAAAGATCTATTCACTGGAGACTATTTATTAGTGTTCTACAGCGATATGCGTATAATATTAGACAGGTTTATTCGACATTATGGGAGCGTAAAGTTTATGGAATACAATGATTTTGATGAAATTGAGGAGATTGGATCTGGCGGTTATGGAACAGTTTATTCTGCTAAATATCGAGAGCTAACTGTAATTGACGATCACGGACGTGTTGCACTCAAACGCTTTAAGAATTTTGATCGAATGCCGAATTTTTTTATTTCAGAGGTAAGCAAATAAGTAAATTCGCGTACTGGCACAAAATATTCTCGGAACACTCTGATTTAATAGTGTTGGACTGTTTTATAAAATTTATAGCTCAAGAATCGTGGCAGGTGTTCTACCATCTTCTTTGCTCAAATTTACGGAATTACACAAATACCAGAGACGAAAGAATACATTATTGTAATGCGATTTGGCAGTAATGGCAATCTTTTATCTTATTTGAGTCGAAATGTTAACAGGCTGACATGGAAGATGAAATTACAATGTTTGAAGGATATCGCGCATAACCTGACTCTCATCCATTTCAAAGGACTGTTACATTGTAATCTTCATGGTGGAAACGTAGTTTTCAATGCATCTAACAAAGCATGCATATGTGATTTTAGTGCTTCGCGATCAACATCATCCGAAATAACGTCAGACTTTCTGGATGATATACCATTTTTTATTATTGCACCAGAAGTCTTTAATACTCGCAAATTTACTCTACAGTCGGACGTTTATGCCTTCGGCATTGTTATGTACTTGGTTGCCAGTGGTGAACTGCCTTTCAGAAATAGGTTGTCCGACAGAGATTTGTTATGTGATATTTCAGGTGGACTGCGTCCCACCATGCCTGATTCAGTGCCTGAGCTATACAGGAAATTTGCCGAACGTTGTTGTGATGTCAATCCAGACAAACGCCCAGCGTGCTGGCAACTTTTGACACATTTTGAGATTCTTGTGAGGAAAATAGATACCGGTGATTTTGACGCTAATATTTAGAATACTGTTTTTTACACGTAATAAGACGCATTGCTAATTATTGAAAATGACCACATGAGAAGTCGTTAATGGCGTGAATATATTGTGATTATAACAAAGTGCACTATTTTTAACTGATTTACATTAACAGTATTGGTAGAATAAACATTGAGTAGAGCTTCAAAACATAACTCAAGTGATTGTCTTGTATATAGTGTATCGAGATAAATATTATTTATCATCGCCGTCATTAGTCAAGTTTAGCTTGGATTACAAAAAATTCATTATACGATTCATATATCATCCAGTAATTCTTAAACATATCTGCACGTTACGAAATGCCTTTCGTGTGAGACATTATAAATAAGTATTTTGGTACTCGAGGCTATTTACTATTACATAATGACGAGCTTTACTCACAGTTTACGATATCAAGAAGAAATACATTAAGTAGAATGATTTTGCTTTATTATCTTTTTATTTGACTGGCACAGTTTTCATAAGGCGCATGCGCTTCTATAATGTTTGCAGTTTGCGAGTAAACGCAATAAATAAGTACCATGTTCTAACTGGTTAGTTCTATACTCTTATAATGGTAATATAATCACCAATTTCATGCGGAGAAACGAAAACTTACATTTTAATAACGAGGACAGAAACACAGTCATGTTAACGTAAATTCGTATTTACGTTAAGTAAAGTATTACAAATTCTTGACACGAAGACACTTTACGGCGCCGTTAAGAAGGTATTGTTTGACAACTTAACTTCTGTTGATTAAGAGAACTATTCTGAAAGCTTGTAGACTTCGAGAAAAACTTTAAATAGTTATTCATATAGTTTGTAAGCAGGGTATCAAGCAAACTGACATTTCAAGATTAATCTGTTTCTTTTATTTTGCTCTTCGATAGATTTCTGTACTAGCATAGGATGAATGTGTTAGACGAACCAATCTTGGCAGCAAAGCATTAGCATTAACAACTGATAATGCATCAGCGATGTTAGTCTGTGGTAGAACACTCGCGAAAGAGCTGGAGGATGAGTTTGACAACTTGAGCTTTGCTCATTACCGGTGTGCAGCTCATGTGCTTAATCTTGCAGTCCAAGAAGGTCTCCAGCAAGTAATGAAATAGTCAAAAAAGTCCGAAGCATGATGACTTATCTACGATCCTCTGCACCAACCGTCATGTCTCTAAAAGCATTGTGTGAGATTAAAGGCATTAATTATCTTGCTTCTGTGATTGATTGTCCGACCCGGTGGGATTCCAGGTACTATATGCTAAAGAATTTTGAACATTTGCAGCCTGCACTCCAAATGCTTCAGGCCGATAATTCTACTATAAGAGAACGATACCCATTACCATCCGAATTGCAGGATATTCATGATATTATTGTATTACTAGAGCCGATCGAACGGGCTACTCTTTTCCTCTCCGCATCAAATATCCAACACATGGTGACATACGATTATGTTTTTTAGCAATCTTGGGAAATCTTGAAAACAACCACAACCAGTAACAACTGCACGTAGTATTTGCAACAAGCTCAACGATTATTGGCCCATTTTAGATCGCACATCTCAAATCTCTGCAATACTGGATCCGCGTTCTAAAATATCGGCATTTAAAAATCAAGAGGAACGAGAGCAAGTCAAAGCAACCATTTTAGAGTTAACATCGTATTGCGGTTCCTCACCATATAATATGGACGAAAGTATCA